TTTACCTTTCCTTCTCAGGCTCAGGGCATCAACTTCCGACTCTTCTTGGATTCACAAATAAGGCGGATAAGAGAAGAAGACCCCAGCCTCTCTCTTGCTAGTAAGACTATCTAGTTGTAGTTCTTCTGTTGGTTAGCTTGCTTTGACTTCTGTAGCTGTAATCTGTATATAATTATTTGATCTGTGATAAGGTAAATTATATCCATTTATATAAGTCTCTTGATTCCCATAGGTCGTTTCAGACAGGTTCAAGTGCTGACAGCAATGGCCAACGCTTTCTATTCCCTGTACTCCCACGTGTCCCGCACTCCTCTCCAGAAACTGTCCACACCGGAGTTTACCTTCTCTTCCTCTGTGCAGAGGATCGAACGGTTCAGAAGCAGCATTCGAAGTGAGCCACGCTCTCCGGTAGAGAGGCTGAAGGACACTGTCAATAAGATGTGTCTCTACACGGGCTCTCCCCGGGGGTCTGACTCCACCTCTCCACAGCCTTCACCCAGGAAAAGATCCAGCCTGCCAGAAGTTGTGGATATAGTGTGGAAAAACAAGAGTGGAGTTAACAAGAAGCTGGATTTGGAGGAATGTAATAGCAATAATTCAGCTATGGATGTTAACCAGATCACAGACGGTGAAAATGGGCTGGAAACTCAACAGTCAACGACGGACATGGAGATTCTCGAGGACAGAAATAAAACCTGTGAAACGGAGATGGGGGATGATAATAAACAGCCAAAGGATGTTGACTCTGGTGAAAATGACTCCATGACTCAGGGTGTAAGAACATCTGTAGCATCATCATTATCAGAAGAAACTGTCATAGAAACCGACTCTGAATCATTTTCATGTCAGCCAGAGCCAGACTCATGTTTGACACAAACTAACAAAAGGACAGCGGAACTAAAGCCTGTTGCCAAGGTTACATACGATTTAATTTGCCCCCAGATAGTCGAGAGTGTACACCGGGCACCTTTTTGCAGTCAAAGGACACACAGTCCGGAAAGTTTGACTCCCCCAGAGAGAGAAAGCACAGATAAATCCTGTTCTGTATCACACAAATTCAGTCTACAAGCCTCCGTGACAAAGTCTAACCTGAATTCACACACAGACGATGTTGCCTCTTCAGGTGAGGCCACGCGGGGGGACGCATCTAGATCACTTCCTGTCTCGGAACCCAGTGGTAGCTACACTCATTACTGCATAACTGTGACTGGCTGGGAAGGCGATGATGTGCCATCCTCTTCTTCGAAAACATCAGATTCTAGTCATGCTTCGCATGGTTTCTATGGTGAGAAAAAGTCTCCTTCAGAGAAGCAAGGACAGTTTCTGAATCCTCTGATGCATCAGAGCCTGGGCAAGCTCTCCAGTAACCTTCAGCAGGTTAATTCCTTTGAGCTGGAAGAGGTACAGTAGTTTTACAATAGGCTTCATGTCGCTTGTTATCTCAGCACTACCATTTGAAAAGAGTTTAACAATGCTTGGCTGACTTTCATTAAACAAAAGCAAACTGAGTACGTCACAAACTGATTCAGTAAACATTTTCCAAACAGGCTCAAGTCATCATAATCATCATGATGAAAATGGTATAAATGGATATAACAAAATGATCAAATTATTACTCAAAAGCAATCTCACCTTCAAATATTCCATATGTTCTTTCCTCTGATAATGTTTGGTATTGGCGATGAACCATTTATGATTCATAATACGTGGGTGTTTTGTGTTGCTCACTTTGACCCAGAATACAGCCTGCATTAGGAATATGTCTTGCGCTTACATTTTTTCTCTTTCAAAAGGATTTTGATCATTGATTATTGTTTGTTATGTAAAGAAAAACAGGCCAAATAACAATATTATTTATCAGAAGTATTGAAAACCTAACCAAATGATACAAAAGAGGCTCTTATATTCACTTATATTTGGCTTCAAACACTGTATAGTGATAGACATCTATGATGCAATGACTTCTTCAGCTCTTGCTGTGTGTAATTGTTCATGAAATTATTTTTAAACAGTTACTAAGCAGGCATTCCCCTTGTCTTTTTAGGTGCATAGTGCAGGAGAGGAAGACTTGGGACAGTCAGAAACTCCAAGAACTACAACCTCACCATTTTCAAAAAAACATCCATACAAAGGTACCCTGTGTGCTCACATCTCATTTGAGGAACTTGACTTTTATTTTGTGAACACAGTTTATGGGAATTTGACTTGTCACAGTTTTAAAATAGCTGTTTGCAGTTAGCAGTGGTCATAAACTCGCTGACAGAAAAAAAAAAAGATGCACACAGTTATAACAGTTAAAATGTGTGAAGTCAAAGGGTGTTACCATGTAACACTGCTCAGCTACATGTGAATAAACTTTGAGCTTACTGGAGGTCTTGTGTTGAGGTCAAATGAGGAACTGAGTAATTCAGGCAAACCCAGGTATAAAAATATACACTACTCGTGCTGGGTTGGACCCCTTTTTGTCTTGAGAACTGCCGTAATTCTTCACAGATTCAGTAAGGTGCTGAAAGCCTGCCTCAGACTTTCTATATTGAAATGACAGTACTGCGCACATCTGTGATGGGAATCTCCCATTCAAGCACATCCCAAAATGCTGTGTTGCACTGAGATCGGGTGTGTGTGGAGGTCATTTCAGTACAGCGAACTCACAGTGATTTGAGCTTTGTGACGTGGTGGTGGAAGCAGCCATCAGTAGATGGGTACGTTGGAGTTATAAAAGGATTGTCAGGAGCAAACAATGCTTAGTTCATACTAAGGGGGCCAAAGTGTGCCAAGAAAGTATCACCCACACCATTACACCACCACAGGTCTAAACCACTGATGCAAGGCAGGATGGATCCGTGCTTTCATGTTGTTTACATCAGAATCTGACCACACCATAGGAAGGTTCAATGCTTCAATGTCCGATGTGTTGTGTGTTCAGAGATGCTCTTCTGCAAGGCCATTCTCCTCTGACATCCACAAGGAATTTTTCACCCACATAATTGCTGCTCACTGGTTATTGTCTTTTTTTTGCACCATTCTCTGTAAACCTTAGAAATGCAAAGAGCAGCCCATCTGGCACCAACAACCACGCCACGCTTCATATCACTTAATCTAAATCACCTTTCTTGCCCATTCTGATTGTCATTGTGAACTTCACTAGGTCACCTTGATCATGTCTGAACATGAACATGCCTGACTTGCAGCCATGTGATTAGTCAATTAGATAAATGTGTTAATGACTGGTCGTACCTGCTAAAGTGGCTGGTGTGTGAATGTTTGAGCATGAATATGAATTCAGCATCACATGAGAGCTTGACAGATGTGTACACAAGTAGCTCTGCAGGTGTGTGTTTCTGTGCCTATGTAGGTCAGTGTGCTGCTGCACTTGTGCTGCACTTCCCAGAGTTTGGAGAACATATCTGTGTTTGCTCCCTCGTATAGGTGAAGTGGTCCGCGGTGACAGTATGCAGTCGGACAGCAGCGGCTACGCAGACGAAGAAGTCAGCCCCTCATCAGACAGACACAGCAGATGACAGAAAGCTCATGCAAACAGCATGTACGGCAGTGCCTGAGTTTGTGAAACTCTGCCGAGGACTTCCTATCAAAATAAAATCATCGTACTGTAAGACTTGCTCATGTCACGATTTTAAAGGTTTTTTTCAGTGAGAATATTTTTGAACAAAGTATTAAGTTTTTCCATTGTGCTCATATTTAACAAAGATTATTGTATTCTTAATAAGTAGACAGTGGAAAATCTTTTATTTAAATGGCAATCTAGTCATAATACAGGTGAAAGGCTGCATTTCAAAGATTATTCCTGTGGAGCTAACGTTTTACTTCCATTTATTGTTTTTGTATCACAGCAGAGGAGCATCACAAGTTTAATGTCAGCATCACCATCAGTTTCATGCACCTTGAACTCAGTGTCAGTGTGAATAAAACTACACAAATGTGTCCATCCTGCATTGAGCGACAGACGTTTTCTGTAGTAGTGCAAAAAATAATTTTATTAAATGACTTCACAGCATTTTACAAGCTAACAGCTACAATAAGGCAAGGTGAAGTGACACAACAGGCAGTTACACTGAATACTCTGGAAGCGAGTCATCAGCTTTTATGTGGAAACTTATCAGTCACATCAACAGAAAAACAAGGGGATTGTTTTAATACTTTTGGAAGTCCACATGACATGATGGCTTTGTCTGGTGTGTGATATTGAAAGCTTAACACACGAGAGTGAGTTTAATGTTGAGAAGAACAAACATTTATTATAAAACTCACTGTACCGCTTCCTTTTTCTGCCAACACATAGCTGTGTCTTTATCGCAACAGAAATGAATTTACAAACTTAACGTAAAGTGTGAGAAAGAAAAGAAATTAGACTGTGACACATCATGAAACTACGTGAGGGCAATTCATAACGGAGTTTCCAAAATATTAATGTTCTTTAGAAAACATAGCCAAACATTCAGAGCACAGCGCAGCAGACAGTCAGCTTTAATTTGGGGGTTTTAACTGTAAGAGCCTCTAACAGTGTTTTGGGGGTTGCTTAGCTTTGTTTGTTTGGAAAGTTAAAAAAAAGGTTTGCTTACACGGCAAAAGTAGTCGTTCTGAAACATAATAGACTAATTTATGTCACTGCGTAACGGACTGATGTAAAGCCAGCATGGAGGCTAGTTTGACACATCATGAGTAATGGGAAGCTGCCTTTGCTGAATCTTACAGTAAAACTATTTTACTCCTCTGAAGACCCAGTGACATGCTTTTATTTCCATGGAAACAGCAATGTGAAACATTTCATTAAATAAAACCATTTTCAACTCCCTGATTTAACATCAAAGTTACCTTAAAAAGCCCAGAACATTAAAAACATTATCAAGACACTGGGATTTCAGATACCACTGTGTCAGTTCAACTGACCAATTAGAACATATGGGGGAGGGGTGGGGGGGTCTATTGTAAAGGCCGCACAATAATATAAGTGGACTGTTTCAGAGAGAGGGCGACAAAAGGTGTAGCCACAAATAATGTGTTTATTAAACATTAAATCATATAAACCTAATCTAACAGACCCAAACAAAGAACTAGCATGTGACAGGGGGGCTATTTTCATACTAAAACCAACATTTTTTAACACTTGTGTGTAAAATGGTTAATCTTCAAGATGATTGTCCTATGACAATAACTCAGCAGTCTCTTTTTCTTAATTTTTCTTCAAGTCTGGGCTCTTTTAGGTCCGTGCATGAAAACAGGGATTTAACAAAGCAGCAGTGAACGGATGACTCCACTCCATTTTCTTCAGACCCCTTTCACGCCCTGGTCATTTCACGGCATCAGAATTTTATCTCAAGTAATTTGCAACGTATAGTTTACCACGATAGCACCATTTATAAATTCAGATGAAAACAACTAGGGTGATATAAAAAAGTAAAAATACATAATTAGTGATAAATATTGTAAATGTCAAGTGATTTTTTTGGGGGGGGGCAACTAAATCTTCATTGGCATCATCAATAGGACTTTTAAAAAATCTTGGGGCATAAAGAGTCTTCATTTCTAAATTTGAGGTAATTCATGTTATTTGAGTTCATCACAAAAGTGCCTCCGTCATCCAAAGTAGAAATTTATGATGGCATTTTGTAGTGGTGAGTTCAAGTCTGTGAGGGAGGGGGGCTGACACGCTCGTCATTTCCCTCCTGCCATGATTTTGAGGTACTGCAGTGCATTGTGGGCTGCGTTGGCTCGGGCACCATCTATGTTTGGGGCGAAGCCGTGACACACGGTGATTGGCTGCGTGGAGAGCTCCACGAGACACTGACACAGGCCGCTGAGACTGCGCTCCTCTGAGAACAGAAGGAACAAAATACAAAATCACGAGTTTCATTTTTATTATAAAATTGATATTTACAGGATTGCTGCTACTTTTTAAATAATATCATAACATATGTGTGGTGTACTTCAGAATGAAAGATTTGACAGTTAACATTGTTATTAATACTGTACATCTAATTCAATGTACCGTTATCATATACAGGCATAATAATAATATGATCAAAACTACTGTAACTAAAACATATATAAGAATATAGTAATAACTACCCTCATCTACTGCGTACTTTAAGAAAAACTAACACTTTTGTCACGATTACATAGATCATATAGTTTGCAGAAGATAAAATAATGACCGTGACAGGTTTTAATACTAAAAAAAAGAAAGAAAATGTGTGTTAATTACACAAATAAATCGAGCAGAGATAACAAACAAATGCCAATAATTCGATTCATTAATGTAAATCTGCTACGTTAAACTGTTGTTTCGGTGAAGAGCTTTAAGCGCCTTGTGATTTGGCGCTATATAAATAAAATTGAATCGAATTGAAACTGTCCACATTAAAAAAATGGTTCTACATAAAACCAAGATAACAAGCAGCTGCAGGCTACTTCCTCAATATCTGGTGACAGTAATAACGACCACAACACAGCTTGCCTTTTTTTTATGGGCATGACATCAAAATCTACCCTGTATCCTCTGCAAGTGCGTGCAGATGGTGCAAACCAGATGTGAAACAGTAAGAGGCTTTCACAACCTAACAGATCTTAAGCAGCGCAGTGAAAACTCCACTGAATTACCATATTTAACAGATACTAACAAAAATGCAGCTCTTCCTGTCAGCAGGCGCATCAGCAGCGGCTCTTTACGCTTTGTATACCATCCTCCTTTTAACGAGAATGCAAGAACGCAAGAGAGAAGTGTGACAGGTACGGTCTGTGAACTCACCAAGGTCCAGGTAGCTGACATCAAAGCGCTGCTCCAGAGACAGTTCACTCAGCAAAGAGCAGAAGTTGGAATCAGAGGGCATGCCCAGAGGGTGGCTGCGGAGTTGGAGGATCTTCTCACCGGCAGAGTTACGCAGAGAATCCCACGTGCAGCTGAAGCCTTTACTTTTACCCGACTCCGCTCTGCTGCCCATGTTCTGTGCATGCAGGAATTAATGGACAATGTCATTACGTGCCATAACCATGAGACAGAAGAGTAACAACAGAGCATATGAATCAGAGATTATGCTAAATTAATAATGCTTCAGGAAATACAGAAAAATGAAATTTACAAAAATAGTTTGTTACTACGTAGAAGTGAACTAAACTCTAATTCCTCTAATGATGCTTAATAAACATTTGTCAGTCAGTGTAACAGCGTTTGATTCCCACCATAGTAAATGTATCATCTTCGGCATCAGGATCATTGCTGGTCCTCATATCTACGGGGACATCATGTATGCGTGACAACATCTTAGCTGCTGCGTTTCTCTTGGCTAGCTTCTTAGATGTACCACTTCCTGGAGAGGAAGAGGAGATTGCATCAGAAACCAAAGGATGTGCTTGATATCTCTTAAGTTTTCATGCTTTAAGAGAGTAAGTCAAGGAACGTCACAACTTAGTTGACCAGTGTGAAAGGTGTAACAAAAGATATATGATTTTGCTCAGTTTTATTAAGCTGTTTTCTATCAATAATATTTCATTAGTGAACACACACACACCCACACACAAAATTGTGTTTTCATGTCTTTGTGGGGACATCTAATTGACACAATGCTTTTCCTAGCAGCTTACCTTAACCATTAAAATTGAATGCCTAACCCTAACTGTAACCCTGACACTAAAACCACATTTTGAGTCTCAAAAATGAAACTCGTGGGTCAGGCATTTTGTCCCCACAAAGATATGTAAGCATGGTACACACATACACACATACACACGCGCACGCAGGCTGAGAGATTGAAACAAAGCAACGTACCGATTTCTACAAATCTCTCCACTCTGCAGGTCATGGTGAACTCTTTGCGATGTGCTGGACCAGACTCTTGAGTGACCGTGTACTCTGGCAAACGCCATCCTTTCTGCACCACCAGCTCCTGACAGAACAAAGTAAAAAAAGAAACCAAAAGTTGGAAAATTTATAAGCCGCAGAAATAATGAGAGCAAAATGAAACCTTGGTAGCTGTCTGCGTTTACCTGCAGAGCCCCTACAGGGTTGCATTCAGACTGCTGTGAAGTGCCTGTGGTCTTCATCTCTGACTGGGCACTACACAGAGGTTGAGAAAAAACAAAAAAGGAAACAATGAAACCACACAACGCTCTATCTTACTCTTGTTAAGTGTTGAAATGCTCTTCATAACATTCAGGCTGGCCTGCTTATTAGATGTTTAAAGCAGACTAAGCTGTATGGATAAACATTTTTAAATAATTTTAACTGTAATGAGGTTGTTTTATAAGAAAATAAATAAAAATTAAACAGAAAAACTGACCCATCTGCATCAGTAGACACATCAACCCCAATAAACCCGTCTACTCCAATACCAACTCCAGCAGGACCTCCGAGGCCTCCCTTTAGCATCTTCAGAGCAGCCTCAGCTGCTTTGTGCTTGGCTGCCTTCTTGCTGGGCCCCTGGCCGGTGCAGCTGATCTCTCCAACGGAGACGCGGAACGTGAAGTTGGGCTGGTGGGCCTGTCCCTCGGCCTTCAGCAGGTCATACACTGGGGTCTTGCCTATCCGCGTTCCATACTCCTGCAGCAGACTGATGGGCGTCTTTCCGGGATTCACAGCCAGCATTTGCTCAATACTACATAAGAGAAAAACCTCGCATGAGACAGACTCTCCAGAAACACCTTTTCATGCAAACAAGAAAAATAATTGTATATAGGGTTTAATATACTGTGTGTAACTTCATAGTTTTACTTTGTTATTTCTTATTTATTTTTATTTTTATTTTCATTTTTATATCTATATTTATTTTATTTTTTAATCACTCTAGTTTTTTATTCCATTAAAAAATTAAAACAAAAACTATTAGGAGAGTAAAAATCTCACTAAATATTACGGGGAACTATATTTTTGATACTTTTTCTATATATTTTGAATTCTCTGTCTTCAAATTAGAGTTACAGAAACAATTACAGTTACATATATCTATGCTTATATTCACCAATTAAAGGAGATTTTAATTCCCCTGAAACTTGACAGAAATATCAAATAATGTTGACAGAAGAGTAGAATAAAAAAATGAAGTAAAAAGAAGAAAAATGCAATGATTTCAAAGTCTGATCTGTATAAAAATATATGGCTGCAAAAATGATCATAAAACATCTGTGCAAAGTTGTGCTTCATTCTCACTGGAGAAACCAAACAGCCACTTCATAAATGCACGGCACAACACAGAAGAGCCACCTCGACAAGACAAGACTCAGCTGTACGTCTGCATCTAAAGGTCAAAGGTCACTCTTTCAAGGATGTCAATATTCACATTTTGGACAAAGAAGACAGTTTGAAAGAGGAGTGAAAGAAGCCATCTATTTGAAGCACCATTTTTGAACTCTCTGCCACCTATAGTGTAGTTTTGCGATCTCTTCCCATGTAACTCACATGATAGGGTGAAGCAATGTCTCACAGTGGGTTCACCCGAAACCTCTGCTGATAATGACCAACACCCTGTTTCACATCTTGGCCCATGTGATGAGGCACATGATCAACAGTTGCTTACAATCTAGGACTTTCCAGCATTTGGTCTTAGAACTGACGTAGCTTCTCAGATGAGAGGTAAAACATCTTCAAGAAACTCAAAGAAGTCCAGTCCCTTTTCTTTCCAAGGTCCTTAGATTACGATGACCTGGACGACTGAGAACCTACACAGACATTTCTTTCTCAAGCCTTCAAGTGCAAGCTGTCCACAGTAATGTGCTTTAATAATGAATAATTCAGTGTTACAACTAGATAAGCTCTATGGAGCTCAGGTCCTCAAACATGGATAGACTTAGACCAAAAAAACAAACAAAAAAACCTTTTAGTGGAGATTTCCTGTTTAATGCACGTGCTGTAGATCAATACAGCCATCGCTGATCTAATTATTCATTAATAGTCACTTTCTATGGGAAAGGGGAAGCTTACAAAAGTTTTCAGTGTGAGTGTAGCCACTTTATTATCGGAGAGTCTGAACACAGTGTGGAAACTGAGTAAAACACCACGAATGTCACCAAAGTCTCCAGCAGCCCCGATGCCGTCATTCTGGCGTCACAGTTTTGCAACATGCAGCTGTCAGGAAAAAAAATGCTAGCAGCTCGTGTTTACAGCTCTGTTTCTGAAACCCTACTAAAAGCCAGCCTTCCCGTCTTGTTTGTTACTGGAGGAGGAGTGTGGTGGTCTGACCGGGGGAGCTGTTAGCTTAGCTTTACCTGGAGCACCCGGAGTTTCTCTTCCAGCTGTCCGATGCTGTCTCGTCGTTCATTCCCTATTTCACGCAGACAGAGCCGGTCGGTTTCGGATGGCAGATCCCCCCCACCAAAACAGACACTTGCTTTCATCAGACGCTGTTTATTGTTCCCCCTTACAGATGATGAGGCGACGGCATAAAGCAAAGCCCCCCCGTCACTGCCGCCCCGACAGACTACAATAGCGGAGTCCTCTGGCGCGATGATATGACGTCATCGGCTCACTGCGAAACATCTGTTTTGGCACATTTAACGTTGAGATTTCACGAAACATGTCTTTCTATGGATGGTACAGACAGAAGTAAACAACAGGCGTCAATCCAAGTATTTATGCACATTAGAGAGGTAAAAGATTCAGACATTCTTCTTTCGGCTGTTCCCTGTAGGGGGCGCTAAACACACCATCTGCTGTAGCATCGTCTTCTGTCACACCACCCTACTACATGTCCTTTTTCGCTGCATCTATGGATCTTCTCAGTGGTCTTCATCTTTCCCCCAGCTTGGCAGCTTCATCTCCAGCTCAAATCTCAGCATCTTCAGCTCTGCCTGCTGTCTTTTGTGAGAGCCATCATCTCCAAACCGTGAACATGGTCCACATTTTTTGGTAAATGATCGCTTTCACGGTAGCCAATCTTCCACCTCAGGCCACTGAGGATTTAAAAACAGATTGATAAGAAAATAGAGAAGTCCTGCATCACGTTGACTTACATTTGTTACTTAACTTTTAAGTTATTTGTTTAGCCTGTAAATAAAAAAAATGGCCTTACAGTTTATTTTTTTACAGTAATTTCTACAGTTGTATATGTTTTGCATGAGGTAGCTACACTGTGTATGTGCCCAATTATAGGCTACAGATTTTGATAAGTTTTACTGGGAATGGTGTGGTGTTCCTAAATGTAACCAGAAGAGGGCGACAGTTAGCTATAGATTTCCCCTGCTGACAGCCCTCCCTGTCGGGTCCCTGGGATGTCCAGCACCTGTCATATCCACTACAGACCAACGTGGCAACACGAGAAATTCCTTTCGTGTAGTGGACTGACCACCCTAAAGCTGAAAATAAGGTTTCGAAATCAGATATGCCCCAAAGTGTTTATTCTGAAAACATCCAGAGTTAAACCTCTACATGGAATAAAAAGGTTATAAACTTTCAAAATAAACATTTTCAGCACTTTTAATTTATTTTAAACAATTACAATGAAAAATAATTTACCCAAGTAAATGTTTTTACAATGATATTACAGTCAGGCAGCTCTTTTAATTTGGGATCTTTTCCCCTGCTTGGTTTGGAAAGACGTGTCTTCATAAATAGCCAAAGGAACCGTGCAGACCCCAGAAATCATCTGAACCCACAACGTCAGAGTCTCCTTTCCAAATTATGTAGCAGCGCTTTCGTAAAATGTTTCATTTTATTAGCATTTTCCACCTTTCCATGAATTATCTTTAATTCCGGGGATCAACAATTAATCCCATGATGGTGCGCTTGCAAAGCCCTGCTGGCCACTGTCGAACCGGAGCTCTGAAAACTTCGTCCACTGGCATCAGCGTGTCAGTGTGGATAAGCCCGCTTTGCCAAACGCAACACAAAGTGAACTGGCCATGACAATGAGTAGAGCTGCCTCCCATTTGAACTCCTAAACCTACAATCCGAGCAGCGTGATTTATCACTGACCTGAGTATCTGTGACCGGAGTGCACCCCTCCTCCTCATTACTCATACTTTCAGCGTTAATTTGTCTTATTCTCCGAGACTTTATTTATCAGCTGAAGGCTCCAATTTATTGACCTATAATGTGATAATGTAAGCGTTTTTATTGAGCTTGTGGTTAAATCTTTGACTGAATGAGATCAGCGATGAATGCCATCTCTTAGCAGTTACAGTATACTTCATCCAAATTGTATGCGCACATCCACAAACACACTTTCCTTTTCCCTGCCTTGGCCTGGTGCATTAGTATGTGTGGTTCTTTGCTTGCCAAAATCATCAGTAGATATCTTGAAGCCTCGAGCTGCTCTTTTTCCCTCCTTCCACAATATGATGTGTTTCCTTTTTTGTGTGTGTTTTGATCCTTCTCTTGCGGCCAGGCTGAGCTGTGGTGAGGCGCGGGTTCGAGTGGCGCTCCTGTGTTATTTTTGGCAGCAGCAGTGGTTGGTGGCTGTTGAGGAGAGAGGAGACAGAAGGGGGATAGCATGAAGACCAAAACCAAGGCTGTTTAAGGGATTTCTGTCTGAAGGAATTGCTTTGTAATGATCGCACACTCATTATGGATGTGCGTGCGTGCATATACATTCACTCACGCACACAGAAAAAAAAAAGCTGGCATGCACATTTGTTCATTTAACACTTCTCAAACACCTCATATACATGCTCCCATTCACGGACCACACACTCTGTGGCTAAATTGCCCAACCTGTGATTTCTTTTTTCTTTTTCACTGAATCTACACGATCCACTAGCTGTCATTTGAATATATCAGCACAGTCACACATTTGGTTAAATTTCTGTGTTTCTGTCACACTGGGAGTATCTTTTGCTGTGAATGTTCTCTCTTTCTCTGATGGAACCAGACTGAGACTGACATGCTCAGGCAACACGTAGCGTCAGACATTCACGCCCCTCCCTCTGCGCTTCTGAAAACACCATTTGAAAAAGATTTTCTCCGACTCCGCTCTTGGCCACAGATCAAGAGAACGTTATTACTCGACTTTATTTATTTATATATTGTGGTGGTAATGTGTGTGAATGTATGCGCGCTTGTACGTATGTGTGAGTGAGTGATATGTAATTGTGTATGTATGTGTGTTAACCCGCAAAGATATTTCAATTTCTTCAGAATATTAAATAAACATGCAGCAGCAGCAGCAGCTTCAGTGAAGCGCTGCCTGCCAGTGGGTTTTGGGTTGGATGGGTGGCGGTGGTGGTGGTGGTGAAGGGGGAGAGGGGGTTTGTGGCCGTGGCTCTGGGGGGGTGAGGCAGCTCATGGTCAGGGCCCCCGCCGGACACACTGGCGCCTCGCGCTGGAGGACTTCTGAACCACCACACTCCTCCACCAAACCCTGCCAACCCTGGCTCCCAGCTCCCACTTCCAACCCAAATCGCTCCGTTCTCCTTCTGCGTTTCGACTCTCTGTCTCTCTCTCTTCTCCCTCCTTCCTCCCTGACTGTTTTTTCCTTCTTCAGTTTCCTCATTCTGTTGATTCGCATCCAGATTCATTTACTATTCGACTCCGTTCTTTTTCTCACTTACTGCTGTTCTTTCAGTGGCGGTTCCCCCCGACTCTGTTTTCTCTACCTTTTCTCCTGAGAGCTGTGGGTTTTTACACCTCCGCCACCCCTTCTCTGCACTGTCTCTCTTAAATCCCTCCACTTTAAATGTTCCAAGGAAGTATTTAGTGGCTTGACTTAAAAAAAGTAAACAAGGATGGTTTGGGCTCTGTGTCAGTCAGAATACCGTCAAGATAGTAAGCATTTTCAAAAGGAAAGAACACTTTAATGGTGCTCTAGATATTTGTAACGGTATTAGGTTATAATGGGCCATCAATTTTCTGAGTGGTTTTCCAACCAGCTCCAAGAGATATAGGCCTGCTTGTCTTGAAAGAAAGAAACTTTCCATCATGGCAAAAATGGGGTAAACCGTGCTTTGCTGTATATGTTCTCGTGATAGATTCTGTTAAAGCTGTGATTTGCACGCGAAGACAGTCAGGATTGGGCGTACGTGATAATTGACAAACAGCCCACGTGTGCACCTCATTCAAAGCCTGTGAGCAAACGTGTGTGTGTTTTTTTCTTCAAAGAATATCAACTGCACCTATTACTGCGCATATTTGACTTATGGATGCCAAACATCCTAAGTTGAGCAGATATGTCTTTACGTGTCACACATGCAATTTTCTTAACCTAATTTTCCCCTGGAAGCAATTTGTCATCCGGAGGCCATTAAATGGGAAGCATATTATCTTTTTAAAGGGGCACAGAGTCACCCACAACCCTCCCACAGTTCCTATAAACAAAATGGCCTCATTTAGTGGTGCATTTGGTGCGTTGGGCAGTGAGGGAGCACTTCTTTTTAAACTTTAAAGGAACTTCACAGACTAGGGGAAAAAAGCTTTAATATTGTAAGATTAGCATTGGAAATAAGAGAAGCATTACAAGTTTGATGGTGTGAGGCGCACGGCTTATACTTGATTCATTAACACCAAGGTCGGCCAAACCTCGATCGCCAGTGTTACGGTGAGTGTAGCACAGCGAGGAGATTTAGGAAGTAATGCAGTAGGATTGGGATTGAGTGGAATTTACTGCGCAAATAAAGCAAAATCCACAAAGATGCTTAATCACTGAGAGACATCTTTTGTACTTTGAACTTTTTCATAGTGCAGTTTCCGCTTCAGCCACGTAAAGCATTGCTAAAAAAGATAAAAACAAATCATCAGCAAAGCATGCTTGACCTTTTTACCTCTTGCCCTCTGTTACCTGTAATGTCTTTCTCCTTTACCTTTGTTTCGTTTAGCCTGACCTCTTTTGCTCTTCGGGTCGTGCTATGGTTCACTCAGGTCACTTTACTTTTCCACTTTGCCACTAAAGCCTTATCTTGTCGTTACTTGCGGCCTGGCTGTTGAGCCTCTGGGCATGCTGACATTCTTTCCCATTTCAGCCCACTGTTCGCCACAGAGACCCAGGCACACCTGCAGACACCTGCGCTTTTGTCCTGCCTCTCACAAACCCCCGCCCGCACATGCGGGCAGGTAGAGGTAGGGGTACTTGTGCCTGTGGCTATATCAGAACACAGCCCATTGTTTTATGTGACTAATCAGTTAGGACCGGATAATAGCAGGAAAAGAGGTTAATTAGCATTTTGTTCAACACATCACGATGAGGGCTTTCATTCTAATGAACTGGAATCTGATCCCCTCCCCGGAGTAATTCATTAAGCTTGAGTTTGCGTAACTCATCGAGTCGTCAACGCTTAACAAAACACCGGGCGAGGAAATATTCTAAAATTGCTTCTTTGTTTTTGTTAGATCGGAAATTAGTTGCACGATGGCTTAAGCAGGTGTGTCTAGGATCCTCTGGAATAACCTTTTTAGTCTTATTAAGTCTGCTTTTGATTTTGTAAATGGAGCAAATGGGCACTTGTGGGCAAACCATATGGAACAGATTGTCCCAGCTTCTGCTTTT